CTGGAGACGGGTGTCTCCCATCCCTTCATAACAACACCCTTCGGCTTCTTAGTTTTCCCCTGCTGCTGCTCTCCTCCCTCGGATCCAGCAGCTCCACTAGTGCTACCGCTAGTCTCCACACCATTGTTTTCACCGGCAGGTGCCTCCTGCACCTTCTCTCCAGCACCACCTTTTGCAGCTGCCTCCTCTCCCTCCTCCCACACACTAGGAGTCAGGTCCAGCTGCATGGTGATCTGCTCCATCTGCTGGGACACCCTGGCCTCCGGCTGTTTCTCCCAGCTCCCATACATCATGCCCTCAACAAACTTCACATCCCTGCTGTCAAACAACACACCCTTGGAAGGTTCCCACAGCAGCCATCCCTTGCTCTCAGCACCCAGCCCCAAATGGACACACCAGATTGCACTCGCCCCCAACTTACTGCGGTAGGTCTTGGGGACGTGGGCGACTGCCATGCAACCGAACACCCTCAGCATGTCCACCGGCGGCTTCCTCCCAAGCCACCTCTCCAACGGCACCCACGAGTCATCCCCAACCTTTGTGAGTACCCTGTTCCTAGCGACGGTAGCGTGCCGAACAGCATGGGGCCACATCAAGCTGCCCAGCCCAGATTCTATGAGCAGCGCCCTAGCTGTCTCCAGAATTGTCCGGTTCGCCCGTTCTGCTACACCGTTGGACTGTGGGGTGTAAGCCGTGGTCAGCTCCCTCTGGATGCCCTGCTTCTTGAGCCAGGCCGTCATCTCAGCTCCAAGGAACTCACCACCCCGATCTGTCCTAATCCGCTTCACCACACACTCCGCTTGCTTCTCCACGAACGGCAGCCAATCGTCCCGAATCGTGGAGGCGGCGTGATCTTTCTGCTTCAGCGGATACGCCCACATTAGCCTGCTCCAGTCATCCACTATGGTTAGGAAGTACCGCTCCCCTTTGTGCCCTTGCACCGGCAGCGGCCCCACCAAGTCCATGTGGACCAGCTCCAACGGCTTTTTGCTCCTGCCAGCCACACTATGGAAGGGGAAACGGGTGAACTTTGAAAGGAGGCAAATTTCACAGTTATCATCGGGTGGTTGTCCGTTCAGCTTTAAGCCCTTAACGGCTCCATCCTTCTCCAGCTGCTTCAGCAAAGGCATTGCCACATGCCCCAAACGTCGGTGTGCAGTTGCCCAATCTGTCTCCCCAGATCTGGCCGACACTTTCACACCAACCCCTCCAACGGCGTTGCACTCCCCCTGGGATGCAGACCCCTCTCCAGCCTGCCCCCCACCGTGCCACGCCAGCGCCGGCAGCTGCCACATAGATCTGTACACGTCCTTGCTCTCGTGCAGATCCCAAAGCACCCGATTGCCCAGCTTCCCCTTATAAGTGCGAGCCCCATCCGTGTTGGTGTTCACCCCAGCCTTGCCAAGCTTACGGAGGGAGATGAGGTTGGCCTTCAGGTCGGGGACGAGGAGAACGTCGTGCAGCACCACCGGCTTGCCATCCGCTCCCTTAAATGCAGCTCGTCCCGCACCAGCCACCTTCAACATGTGTCCAGAGGCAGAGCACACCTCATTAATCGGTGCAGCGCGTACGTCGTCCAGCAGGTCCTTGCGCGGCGTCATTGTCCAAGCAGCGCCTGTGTCCAACACCCAATAGTCCAGGGGGTGCAGCTCTGCTCCAGCCTTAGCAGATGCGTCTCCTTGCTCCCCCTTGTCTCCCATATGGAAGAATTGGCCCGCGGTGCGCTCCTTCTTCTTCTCCGCACCGCCGTTGCCCTTCGGGTTGTTGTCGGACGAATCAGCGACCATGTTGGCGCCGTTTTTTCTGGTTCCTCCGCGCGCCGCCATCCTGGTGACGATTCTGGGGGGTCCATCCATCGGGTTTCTTATAGCACAAAAACCAGGGGTGCCCTTCATTCTCACAATACCAGCAACTCCCTTTCATTTTGCCACCAGCACCCGACTTGCCCCCACGTCCAGATTTCGCACCGCGACCCCAACCGGTACCTCCTTGTTGGTCGTTGGAGTCGTCGTCCTTCTTTGCACCGCGTCCAGCACCACCGAAGCCACGTCCTTTGCCACGTCGGCTCCCTTGCATCCCATAGCCGCTGCTGCCGTCGTCTCCACCCCTCAGTTGACGGCGACGGAAGTCCTCCTCTAGAATCTTCGTCCGCACCCACTCGAGCGTCCACAAGCTCTGGTTCTGCGGCAGGCTCAATCCGCTCGTAAATTGAAGCCACGATTCCGGCAGCAGCGAGAGCATCTTCAAGCACTTTGTTTGCTCCGGGTAGGTGATTCCCGCGGTCGCCAACTTCGCGTAGAGGTCGCGCAATTTGTCCAGGACAGGTTGCACCGGCTCTCCCTCGCTCAGGCGCAACGCGGACAGCTCCCTCTCCAGCATCAATGTTGCAACAACGGAGGTCGGGGCGTGCAGCTCCTTCAACACGGTCCACGCCTTCGGACCGCACTCAACCTCCGGCAGCAGGTGCATGACGTGGTGACGCTGGTTCAGCTCCAAACTCTGCGACATCAAGTAGTAGCCAGCCGAGGCGCGCTCGTCCCAATCTTCCTGAAGGGTGGGGTCACTCGGTCTAGGCTCCTCCCCAATCATTAGTTTCAGCAAACCGATCTGACGGAAATAAAGTTGCATTTTCCAGGCCCAATCATCATAGCCCTCACCATTGAACTTCTCGACGGTGAAGTTTTTCAGCACATCCTTGATCAGCGAGCCCTGGCTTGTTCGCGCTCCCCTTGGCGCAGAAACACCAGAATCATGGCTGCCGCTACGATCTTGGGCTGAAGATTCACCAGCTACCGCCGAGGTGTTGCCCGCCATAGCTACCTATATCGAGGATCACTATAACGCAGCTCTGATACCAGCTTGTTGGTGTAAGGGCCTAATAAACTCAAGCTATTAAGACTTTATCACACTTAAAACCTCTCCTCGGGGTCACCTCCAAGGGTCCTTGGGTGCCTGGTACAAGACCAGCCCCTATCCTCGGGTCCGAGTTTGTAGAGAGAGGGATCAAAAGGGACTTAGTCAAAACAGCAAGAGTACCTTGAACGTCGCGCAGCGTATCGTGCAGACCGTCGATCGGATTAAGCTGAGAATTTCCTATATCGAAGCTCACTCTAAGAGCTTTAAAATAAGCCAAGTTGCCTCGCGAAAAGTTCTGCCATTACGAAGTTATGGCTCGGGCAGTGTTAGCCTAGCGTTGGAGTGCTAGCGTAGTAGCGTTGACTCGGGTAGCATTCCGCCGTCGCACCGCGTAGAAAAGAAATTCCAACAAGGAAGGAATTCGCTTGAATCAATTTTACTATGTTCAGGTACAAACAGAGAAGGAATAAATAGTTCTAGCTAGCAAGGACCTTGGGAATGAACCTGAGAACAACCAGGGATGATCCCAAATAATTCCAAGCAACAGAACCAACCTGGCTGGACAAAATAGCAGGTGATAGGTTGGTGAACAACCTCTGGTTCTGTTTTTCCAACCTGGGGAAACAACAACCAGGTTCAGGTCCTAAAAACAGAACCTGTTTTGTCTTTGCCCAACCAGCCAAATGCTGGTTCCGCTGGTTTCCCCTGGCCCTGTAGCATGCAGATACAGACAAACAACATCCAACCTTCACCTAAATTGTACCCCTATAGTGCCTGCCCTGCTACACTATAGTCAACCAAACAAAACAGTACAATTTCGAGTTGGATAGAACTGAATCTGCGCAATCAAGTAAGTTGAACCGCAAAGCTTCCATCTTGGGTTCCTTTGCGAGCTCGTCCTTTCTGCTTGTACTGTTCATAGCGCATACAATGTTATACCGAAGCGCACATTGTGCGAGTACCTGCAAATGCTTCAAGCGAAAATTGCGAAAGCAAACAAACACACAAACATACCATTCACACGCAAATGCATTCGCACACGCATACTCGTACAAACAGACGGCAGGATGTCGTGCAATGTGAATTTGCACCCAACATCCTGATCGCGGCCCCGCCGCCTGCTTGACGCGGCCCCGCCGCCTCCTCTGACGCGGCCCCGCCGCCTACACTGACGCGGCCCCGCCGCCGGCTCTGACGCGGCCCCGCCGCCCGCTACGTCGCGGCCCGCCGCCGGCTCTGACGCGGCCCCGCCGCCGGCTCTGACGCGGCCCCGCCGCCGGCTCTGACGCCGCCCAGCCCCGGCTCTCTCGCGGCCCCGCCGCCGGCCCTGACGCGGCCCCGCCCCGGCTCTCACGCGGCCCCGCCCCGGCTCTCTAGCGGCCTCGCCCCGTCTCTCACGCGGCCCCGCCCCGGCTCTGACGCGGCCCCGCCGCCGGCTCTGACGCGGCCCCGCCGCCGGCTCTGACGCGGCCCCGCCGTCGGCTCTGACGCGGCCCCGCCCTGTCTCTCACGCGGCCCCGCCCCGGCTCTCTCGCGGCCCCGCCGCCGGCCCTGCCGCGGCCCCGCCCCGGCTCTCACCAGGCCCCGCCCCGGCTCTCACGCGGCCCCGCCCCGACTCTCTAGCCGACCCGCCGCCGGCTCTGCCGCGGCCCCGCCCCGTCTCTCACGCGGCCCCGCCCCGACTCTCACACGGCCCCGCCGCCGGCTCTGACGCGGCCCCGCCCCGGCTCTCACGCGGCCCCGCCCCGGCTCTCTCGTGGCCCCGCCTCGGCTCTCTCGCGGCCCCGCCACCCTACCTGCAGCAGCCGAGCCGCCCACCTGCAGCAGCCGAGCAGCAGTGCATCCGAGCCGCCCCGCCGCCGAGCCGCCCGGGAGCCGAGCCGCCCTGCACCCGAGCCGCCCTGCCGCCGAGCCGCCCGGGAGCCGAGCCGCACTGCACCCGAGCCGCCCGGTCGCCGAGCCGCCCTGCACCCGAGCCGCCCTGCCGCCGAGCCCCCCGGGAGCCGAGCCGCCCAGCAGCCGAGTCGCTGAGTCGCCGAGCCGCCCTTCTGCAGAGTTGCCCGGCCTGCCCTGCCTGGTGAGCACAGTCGCACTGTCACTGCGTGCTCTTCCCCTACTGCTTGCTCTTCTTCGCTGTCGTCGTCATGGCTACCCCTAGTGTCCTAGCTTTTGACGCTGAGGGTCGCGCCATTGACTTTGAGGTCTGGGTAGACGACCTGCAGTTGTTTTTACAGTGCGATAGGGCAGACGGCCTCTCTCTCTTTGACCTTACCTCTGGCGCCTCTCCTGCTCCTGCTGCTGATGCTGATCCCACTGTCCGCTCTCAGTGGGCCACCCGCGATGCTGCTGCACGTCTTGCTGTGCGTCGCCACCTCCCTACCTCTGAGCGCGCGCACTTTAGTCAGTACAAGAGTGCTCAGACCTTGTACGACGCTGTCGTTGCGCGCTACTCCTCCCCTGCCACTGCTGCACTGAGCCGTCTCATGCTTCCCTACCTCTTTCTTGACCTCTCTGCCTTTCCCACTGTCGCTGACCTCATTACGCACCTTCGCACTAGTGACACTCGCTACCGCGCCGCCCTTCCTGCTGAGTTCTGCGCTAAGAACCCCCCCCCCCATGTACATCACTCTCTACTACGTAGTCGCGCGCCTCCCTGACTCCCTTCGCGTAGTCAGGGACCACTTTCTCGCAGTCTGTCCCACCACCCTCACCGTCGACGTCCTTGAGAAGGCCCTACTCGCAGCGGAGAAGAATATAGTCGATGTAGGAGCTTCTCGTGGTGACCCTCGCACCCCCATCTTTGAGGGGTGCTCTCCTTCCCCCTTGCTGCCCTCTGTTGCCTCTGCTGCTGCTGCCGACCTGCTTGGTCTTGAGTCGTTCGGCGCGGCGTCTGCCCCTAGTGGGAGACGTCGCAAGGGCAAGGGGGGCAAGGGCGCGGGTGGAGCTGGAGGGGGCGGTGGCGGTGGCGGCGGAGGCGGCGGAGGGAGTGGGGGTGGCGGCGGGAGTAGTGGTGGGGGTGGTGGTGGTGGTGGCAGCAGCGGCGGAGGCGGCGGTGGTGGCGGCGGCGGTGGTGGTGGTGGCAGTAGCGGAGGTGGAGGCGGCGGAGGAGGCAGTGGAGGAGGCGGTGGAGGTGGACGGGGTGGAGCTGGTCGAGGTGGTACCCAGCAGCGGAGCGGCGGTGGTGGTGGCCAGCGCTCGCAGCAGCAGCAGCAGCAGCGTTCGCGGGACATCCCTCCGCCTCAGCAGCTTCGTGAGTGGTACACTCAGCGTCAGAGGGGTGGGGGTACTGGTCCTTGCACCTACGTCCTTCGTTCCGGCGACCGCGCGGGTGAGCAGTGTGGGGGTGCCCACCCCACCCAGCGCTGCTTTGGCCGCCTGACGGACGCTTGGCGTCAGCAGTTCCCTGGGGCTAGTGAGATCCCTCGCTGGGATGAGCTTCTTAGGGCTGGTGTAGCGATCCTTGATCTTGATTTTGATGCTATCCTTGGTGCTATGTATGCTGTGATTATTAGTGAGGAGGGTGACTGTTACCGGTGTTTCCCGCCCGACCCGGGCATTGGTACTGCTGCGCTAGGTGCTTGTGAGGCTGCTGCTCTAGGTGCCAGTGCGTCCGCGCTCTCAGGTACTGGTGAGACTGCGCTCTCAGGTACTGCGTCGCCCTCGTCCCCCCTCACTTTCACACTTGACTCCGGGGCTTCTCGCTCCTTCTTTCGAGACCGCACCACCCTCACGCCGCTTGGCCGGCCGGTTGCCGTCTCCCTGGCTGATCCCTCTGGGGGTCCTGTTCTCTCTCACTTCTCCACTGTCCTCCCGTGTCCGGCTGCCCCTTCGGGCACCCTGTCTGGACTGTACCTTCCCTCGTTCTCTACGAACTTGGTGAGTGGTGCGGACCTACAGGATGCGGGGGTTCACCAGTTCACTCCTGCGAGTCAACGGGTGACCCACTGCACGGACGCACGCACAGGCCGGCACCTGGCCACGTTCTCACGTCGGCCGGGGTCGAGCCTCTACACCCTGACCACTGCGTCTCCTCCTGTCCCTGCGTCTGGTCAGGTAGCTGCGTCAGGTCAGGTGTTTGCTGCTGCGTCCCGGTCAGGTCCTGAGTCTGCCCCCTGTTCTTGTCGCCTCCTGTCTCACGAGACTCTCATGTGGCACCACCGTCTTGGCCACCCGTCCTTGCCCCGTCGTCGGAGCATGGCTTCCCGTGTCCTTGTCTCTGGTCTTCCCCGGTCTCTCCCTCCCCTTCCCTCCGGGCCAGGACCTTCCTGTGTCCCCTGTGTCGAGGGTCGCCTCCGGGCTACTCCTCACTCCTCCCAGTTCCCCCCGACAGAGGCTCCTCTGCAAACGCTTCACATGGACGTGTGGGGCCCAGCCCCCGTACGTGGGCAGGGTCACGAGCGCTACTTCCTGTTGGTGGTTGACGACTACTCGCGTTACACCACAGTCCTCCCCTTGCGCAGCAAGGGTGCTGTCACTGAGGTGCTGATCGACTGGATCCGCGAGGCTCGTCTCCAGCTCAGGAAGAGCTTCGGCTCGGACTTTCCTGTTCTGCGTCTGCACTCGGACAGAGGCGGAGAGTTCTCCTCTCGCCTTCTGCGAGACTACTGTCGTGCACGGGGGATCCGCCAGACCTTCACGCTTCCGGACTCTCCACAACAAAATGGGATTGCTGAGCGCCGCATTGGCATGGTCATGGATATCGCTCGTACGTCCATGATGCATGCGGCTGCCCCCCATTTTCTGTGGCCGTTTGCGGTGAGGTACGCGGCGCATCAGCTCAACCTTCACCCCCGGGTCTCTCGGCCCGCGATGTCCCCAGTCTTGCTGTGGACAGGGAAGGTTGGCGATGCGTCGGCGTTCCGTGTCTGGGGATCTCGGGCGTTTGTCCGCGACTTGTCTGCGGACAAGCTGTCCCCTCGAGCTGCTCCCTGTGTCTTCCTTGGCTTCCACACTGACGCTCCAGGGTGGCAGTTTTACCACCCCTCCTCTCGTCGTGTTCTGTCCTCCCAGGACGTCACGTTCGACGAGTCAGTCCCCTTCTACCGCCTCTTCCCCTACCGCACTCCTTCCCTCCCCCCTCCCCCGGACTTCCTTGTGCCGGTTCCCCCCCCGGTAGACCCCCTCCCCCCTCAGGTTCCTGCCCCCTCAGGTGTGTCCCAGGTAGACGCAGTTGACCCGGTCGAGGTAACTGGTGACTCTGGTGCTGCTGCGGGTGCTGAGCCTGGGGGTGCTGCCTCTGGGGGTGCTGTGCGCGGGGGTGCCGGGCCTGGAGGTGCTGCTACTGGGGGTGCTGAGCCTGGGGGTGCTGAGCCGGGGGGTGCTGTGCCTGGAGCTGCTGAGCCTGGGGGTGCTGAGTTGGGTGCGGCTGAGCCTGGGGGTGCTGAGTCTGGGGCTGCTGAGCCTGGGGGTGCTGGGTCTGGAGCTGCTGAGCCTGGGGTTTCTCCTGCTGCTGCGTCTCGACGGGAGCCCCTCTCTCCACAGGAGCTGCGTGAGTGGTTTGCTCGCCGCTGGAGGTGTGCTGCTGGAGCTGGAGCTTCTTCGAACGTCGAGGGTGCTGGTGCTGCCGGTCCCGGAGCTGCTGGGCCTGCGAGTCCTCCTGGAGCTGGAGCTGCTGAGGGTGTTGGTGCTGAGACCACTGCTGTCTGTCCTCGCGGTGGTTCTGCTGCTGGTGCTGCTGGAGGTCCTGCCGCTGGAGGTGTTGGTGGCGCTGGTGCTGTCCCTGCTGAGTTTGGAGCTGCCGCGCGGCCTCGGCCGTACTTCGTTCCGCTCCTACAGCAGGTTCTTGGTCTTTCGCCTCCGGTAGAGTGTCCACAGCCTGTCGATTCGCAGTCACTGTTGGAGCCTTCCTCTCCTCTGCCTGCTCCTTCACCTTACAGTGGTCCTACTGGAGGTCTCGCTGAGCGTCGTGAGCCTGCGTCTCGTCCCGCGTCGCCTGTTCGTGCTGCTCGCGCTAGTGGTCGCGGTTCGCGTCAGCGTCCTCCTCGTCCCTGGCACGCACCGGATGTCTCTGCGTCCGTCCACTACTCCTCTGCGTGCCCCTTTGCCTTCTCCTCCTGAGTCCTCTCTTCCTGCGCTTTCCGACCTGAACTCGGACTCTCTTCGTGCTGCCAGTCCTACTGTCACGCGTCTGCTTGCTACTGTCGTCACTGACCCCTCTTTTGAGTCCACTGATGCATCTGCTCTTGTCGCTGAGCTCGTCGACTTTGCTGCTTGCTGTCGTCTAGACTACGCTGCTAGTCTTGTTGCTGAGTCTGCGTCTGTCTGTCCTCCGTCCGTCGGGGGTGAGTGTGCTCTTGGCACGGACGTCCTAGAGGACAGGCAGGAGGAGTTACAGTGTCTGGCTGCTGCTTCACCTCATCTCACGTCTGTACTGCTTGCTCCTGAGGGAGACCCGGATGCACAAGACATCCCGATTCCGCGCTCTTACGCGGAGGCTGTAGAGGGTCCCTACTCCTCTCAGTGGCAGGCAGCTATGGATGCAAAGATGGCTTCCTGGAAGTCCACAGGCACCTACGTTGACGCAGTTTCCCGTCCTGGGGCGAACATCGTCAGTGGCATGTGGATCTTCCGGGTGAAGCGGCCGCCGGGCTCTCCACCTGTCTTCAAGGCGCGGTACGTTGCTCGTGGCTTCAATCAGCGGCAGGGGGTTGACTACTTTCAGACCTTCTCTCCCACCCCGAAGATGACCACTCTTCGGGTGCTGCTGCACATAGCCGCTCAGCGCGACTACGAGCTTCACTCTCTCGACTTCAGCACTGCGTTCCTGCAGGGTAGCCTGCACGAGGAGATCTGGCTGCGCCGTCCACCTGGCTTCACTGGGACTTTCCCTCCTGGCACCCAGTGGAGCCTCTGACGGCCAGTCTACGTTCTCCGCCAGGCACCGCGTGAGTGGCACGACACACTGAGGACTACGCTTGCGGCTCTTGGGTTTGCTCCGTCTACTGCCGTCCCGTCGCTGTTTCTGCGCACCGACACTTCACTGCCGCCGTTCTACATCCTCGTGTACGTCGACGACTTGGTCTTTGCCACAGCGGACACTGCTGGACTCGCCTACGTGAAGTCCGAGCTGCTGAAGAGACACACGTGCACAGACCTGGGTGAACTGCGCAGCTACCTTGGCTTGCAGATCACTCGGGACAGAGCACGCCGCACCATCACCTTGACTCAGTCACACATGGTGCAGCAGGTCCTTAAGCGCTTCGGCTTCACGTACTCCTTGCCTCAGGCCACTCCTCTGTCTACTCGCCACTCGCTCTCAGCTCTGCCTTCGGATGAGTCCGTAGAGCCGAGTGGCCCGTACCCAGAGCTTGTTGGCTGCCTCATGTACCTGATGACCTGCACTCGACTTGACCTTGCATACCCTCTGAGCATTCTTGCACGCTATGTTGCCCTGGGAGACACCGACCAGAGCACATGGCTGCAGCGAAGAGGGTATTGCGCTACTTGTGCAGTACGTCGGGCATGGGGCTAGCGCTTGGAGGGCGGAGTCCAGTGGTCCTTACAGGCCATGCGGACGCTTCTTGGGCTGACGACCAGGCTACGCAGCAGTCGTCACAGGGTTACACCTTCAGTCTTGGTTCCGGCTCTGTCTCGTGGCGGTCTACTCGGTCGTCTTCGGTTCTCGGCTCCAGTTGTGAGGCTGAGATCTACGCCGGGGCCATGGCTGCACAGGAGCTTCGCTGGCTCACCTACCTGCTGACTGACCTTGGAGAGCAGCCTCGTTCTCCTCCAGTGCTGTACGTAGACAACAAGGCCATGCTGGCCTTGTGTCGAGAGCAGCGCTTGGAGCACAGAACGAAGCACATTGCTCTCCGCTACTTCCTTGCTCGTGAGCTGCAGCAGCGTGGTCAGTTGCGACTTGCGTACGTGGCCTCTGAGGCCAACACTGCTGATGTGTTCACCAAGGCACTCGCGCCTTGTGACCATCAGCGCTTTTGCACCCAGCTGGGTCTTGTGCCTGTCTTGCCTCACTTGCTCTCCTCTTGACTTTACTTGTACTGTGACATATGTATATATACCTGCTCCTGCTTGTCTAGTTTTATATATATGCCTGTACTCCTGCATGTGAACTGGCCTCTGGCCCTGCTCTTGTGCTCGGACTGTGTGGTGACTTTGTGATCCACCCTGAGCTTGCTTTGCTTTGCTTTGGTTGACTGGTCTTGTGACCCCTTGTTCTCCCCCACTTTGCCTATGGGGGTGTGTCAGATTATTATAGCTGATGCATGTTTGTAGGCTATAGTGGGGTAGCACATATGGGGTACAGCTTTCTAGGGTTGTATTTGTACCCAACTCTGACTTAGTCATTCATTCCTGTTCACTTATTTCACATGTACATCACCCTCTAATACATAGTCACCCGGCTCCCTGACTCCCTTCACTCGGTCAGGGACCACTTCCTCTCTGTTTGCCCCACCACACTCACCGCTGACCTCCTCGAGGAGCGCCTTCTAGCAGCTCAGAAGAGTATAGTCGCTGTAGGAGCCTCTCGTGGTGACCCTCGTACCCCCTTCTTTGAGGGGTGCTCCACCTTCCCCCTTTTGCCCTCTGTAGCCTCTGCTCTTGCGGGTCGACCTCGATGGCACCGAGTCGGTCGGCGTTGCGTCTGCCCCTAGCGGGAGACGCCGCAATGGCAAGGGCAAGGGGGGCAAGGGCGCTGAAGGGGCTGGCGGGGGCGGTGGAGGTGGCGGTGGAGGATGCGGAGGGGGTGGAGGTGGCGGTGGGAGTGGTGGCGGGGGTGGGGGCTTCGGTGGCGGCGGTGGAGGCGCAGGCGGCAGCGGCGATGGCCGTGGGAGCAGAGGAGGCGGCGGTGGCGGTGATGCTGGTCGGGGTGGTTTCCCGCTCCTTCTTTCGAGACTGCACCACACTCACGCCGCTTCGTCGGCCAGTTGCAGTCTCCTTGGCAGACCCCTCCGGGGGTCCTGTCCTCGCCCACTTCTCCACTGTCTTACTATGTCCAGCGGCCCCTTCTGGCACCCTGTCAGGTCTTTACCTCCCCTCGTTCTCTACGAACTTGGTGAGTGGTGCTGATCTATAGGATGGGGGGGTTGACCAGTTCACTCCTGCGAGTCAGCGAATGACCCACTGCATATGTGCTTGGACGGAACAACACTTGGCCACGTCTACCCGTCAGCTAGGGTCGAGCCCGTACACACTGACTTCTGAGCCTCCTCCGGTTGCTGCGTCTGGTCAGGTAGCTGCGTCGGGTCAGGTGTTTGCTGCAGCGTCCAGGTCTGGTCCTGAGTCTGCCCCCTGCTCGTGTCGTCTCCTGTCTCACCTGACTCTCCTCTCGCACCACCGCCTTGGTCAACCCTCCCTGCCTAATCTCCGAGGCATGGCCTCTTGTGTCCTTGTCTCTGGTCTCCCCCGGTCCCTCCTACCTCTACCTTCGGGGCCTCCCCCTACCTGCGTTCCCTGCGTTGAGGGGCGGCAGCGCGCCGCTCCTCACTCCTAAGAGTTTCCTCCGATAGAGGCTGCGCTGCAGACACTTCACCTGGACGTGTGGGGCCCCGCGCGCGTCCGTGGACAGGGTCACGAGCGTTACTTCCTGCTGGTCGTTGAGGACTACTCGCATTACACCACAGTCTTCCCCTTGCGCAGCAAGGGTGAGGTCACTAAGGTGTTGATCGACTGGATCCGCGCAGCTCGTCTCCAGCTGAGAGATAGTTTCGGCTCGGACTTTCCTATTCTGCGTCTGCACTCCGACAGAGGCGGAGAGTTTTCCTCTGACCTTCTGCGAGCCTTCTATCGTGCATGGGGCATCCGCCAGAAGTTCACGCTTCCGGCCTCCCCACAGCAACATGGGATTGCTGAGCGCCGCATTGGCATGGTCATGCACGTCGCTCGTACGTCCATGATGCATGCGGCTGCTCCCCATTTTCTGTGGCCGTTCGCGGTTCACTACGCAGCGCATCAGATCAACCTTCAGCCCCGGGTCTCCTTGCCGGAGATCTCCCCTAGTCTGCGGTGGACGGGGAAGGTTGGCAATGTGTCTGCGTTTCGTGTCTTGGGATCTCGGGCCTTTGTCCGCGACTTGTCTGCGGACAAGAGGCCCCCCCGTGCTGTTCCCTACGTCTTCCTTGGCTTCCCCCTTGACGCTCTTGGTTGGTAGTTTTACCACCTCACCTCGCGCCGTGTTCTTTCCTCCGAGGACGTCACGTTTGACGAGTCGGTTCCTTACTACCGTCTCTTCCCGTACTGCACTGCACCCCTTCCCTCGCCGCCGCTCTTCTTTGCTCCAGGTCCCCCCCTGGCAGACCCCCTTCCCCCTCAGGGTCCTGCCCCCTCAGGTGTGCCTCAGGTAGACGCAGTCAAGCCTGTCGAGGTAGCTGTTGACTTTGGTGCTGCTAGGGTGCTGAGCCTGCGGGTGCGGGGTCTGGGGGTGCTGAGCCGAAGTGTGCTGGGCCTGCTTGTGTGGAGTCTGGTGGTACTGGGGCTGGAGGTCCTTCAGGTGCTTCGTCCCGGCGGGAGCTACCCTCTTCCTAGGAGCTGCGCGAGTGGTTTGCTCGGTGCTGGAGTTGTGCTCGTGGAGGTGGAGGTGCTGCTGGAGCTGGAGGTTCTGCTGCTTCTGAGGGTGTTGGTGCCACGGGTCCCGGAGGTGCTCGTACTTGAGGTACTGGAGTTGCTGGGCCTGCGGGTACTCCTTGTAGTGGAGCTGCTGGCGGTGCTACTAAGGTAGGTGCTACTGGAGCTACTGGAGCTGGAGGTGTTGAGTCTTCCGGTGGTCTTGCTAGAGCTGGAGCTGCTAGGGGCGTTGGCGCTGTAGGTGCTGCTGGCGCTGGTGCTTTTGAGGGTGCTGGAGTTGGCGCTGCTAGAGCTGGGGGTGCTATTGGCGTAGGTTCTGCCGCTTGGGGTGCTGGTGCTTTACTTGCTGGTTCAGGAGGTGCTGCGCGGCCGTGGCCGTACTTTGTTCCGCTCCTTGAGCAGGTTCTTGGTCTTCCGCCCTCTACTGGTCCTGCTCCTTCCTTAGAGTGTCCATTACCTGTCCAGTCTGAGTCATAGTTACAGCCCGCCTCCCCCATGCCTGCTCCTTCTCCCTACACTGGTCCTACTGAAGGTCTTGCCGAGCGTCGTGAGCCTGCGTCTCGTCCTGTCTCGCCTGTTCGTGCTGCTCGCACTAGTAGTCGTGTTCCGCGTCAGCGTCTTCCTGCGGTCCTAGGCACACACCAGATGGCACTGCATCCTTCCACTACTCCTCTACGTGTCCCGTTGCCGTCTCCTCCTGAGTCCTCTCTTCCTGTTCTTGCTGACCCAGAGTCTAACTCTCTTCGTGCTGCCAATCCTACTGTCACGCGTCTTCTGGCTACTGAGTTCACTGCTGCGTCTGCCTTGGTTGCTGAGCTTGTCGACTTTGCTGCTCACTGTCGTCTAGACTACGCCGCTAGTCGTGCTGCTGAGTCTGAGTCTGTCTGTCCTCCGTCCGTCGGGGGTGAGTGTGCTCTTAGCACGGACGTCCTTAAGGACATGTAGGAGGAGTTCTAGTGCTTTGCCGCTGCTTTGCCTCATCTCGTGTCCATGCTGATTGCCCTTGAGGGAGCCCAGGATGCACCAAACATCCCGACTCCTCGATCGTATGCTGAGGCGATCGAAGGTCCCTACTCCTCACAGTCGCAGTCAGCCATGGACGCAGAGATGGCTTCTTGGAAGTCCACAGGCACCTACGTCGATGAGGATCCCCCACCTGGGGCGAACATCGTCAGTGGCATGTAGATTTTCAGGGTGAAGCGGCCGCCGGGTTCTCCGCGTGTCTTCAAGGCGCGTTACGTGGCTCGAGGCTTCAGTCAGCGGAAGGGAGTTGACTACTTTCAGACCTTCTCTCCCACCCCGAAGATGACCACTCTTTGGGTGCTGCTGCACATAGCTGCTCAGCGGTGACTACGAGCTTCACTTTCTTGACTTCAGCACTGCTTTCCTACAGCGCAGCCTGCACGAGGAAATCTGGCTGCGTCGCCCACCTGGCTTCACTGGATCGTTTCCCCCTGGTACCCAGTGGAGCCTTCGTCGGCCAGTCTACGGTCTCCGCCAGGCGAGGACTACTCTTGCGACTCTTGGGTTTGCTCCTTCTACTGCCGTCCCGTCGCTGTTTCTACGCACCAACACCTCTTTGCCGCCATTCTACATCCTCGTGGACGTCCACAACTTGATCTTTGCTACTGTTGACACTGCTGGACTCGCCCATATGAAGTCGGAGCTGCAGAAGAGACACACGTGCACAGACCTGGGTGAACTGCGCAGCTACCTTGGCTTGCAGATCACCCGGGATAGAGCACAGCGCACTATTACCCTGACTCGGTCACACATGGTGCAGCAGGTCCTTCAGCGCTTCGACTTCACGTACTCCTCCCCTTAGGCCACTCCTCTGTCTACTTGCCACTTGCTCTCAGCTCTGCCTTCGAAAGAGTTCGTAGAGCCGAGTGGCCCGTACCCAGAGCTTGTTGGCTGCCTCATGTACCTGATGACCTGCACACGACCTGACCTTGCATACCCTTTTAGCATCTTAGCACGCTATGTTGCTCATGGGAGACACAGACCTGAGCACATGGCTGTAGCGAAGAGGGTGTTGCGCTACTTGTGCAGTACGTCAAGCATGGGGTTCGTGCTTGGAAAGTAGGTGCATGACGAGGTGTTGCAGGTTCAGCTCCAAATTCTTACGGAAATATAATTGCATCTTCAAGGCCCAATGATCATAGCCTTCATCTTTAAACTTCTCGACGGTGAAGTTGTTCAGCAGCTCTTTGATCAGCAAACCCTGGTTTGTTCGCGCTCAATTTGGCGCCAAAACACCAGACTCTTGGCTGCCGCTGAAGATTCACTAGTTCCAGCACAGGCATTTCTCGCCAAAGCTACCTATAAGGAGGGTCCCTATAACGTAGTTCTGATGCCAGCTTGTTGGTGTAAGGGCCTAATAAATTCAGGCTACTATGACTTCATCAAACTTAAAACCTCTCCTCGGGGTCACCTCCCAGGGTCGTTGGGTGCTTGGTACAAGACCAGGCCCTATCATCGGGTCCGAGTTTGTAGAGAGGAGTCGAGAATAACTTAGCCAAATCAACAAGGGTACCTTAATCGTCCCACAGCGTATCCTGCAGACCGTCGATCAGATTTAGCGGTACAAGACCAGGCCCTATCATCGGGTCCGAGTTTGTAGAGAGGAGTCAAGAATAACTTCGCCACAATAAGCAAGGGTACCCTCATTGTGGCGCAGCGTATCCTGCAGACTGTCGATCAGATTTAGTGGAGAATTTGCTATATCGAAGCTCGCTTTAAGAGCTTCAATATGAGCCAAGTTACCTTGCGAAAGTTCTTGTTGAGTGCAAATTCACATTGCACATCCTGATGTCTGTTTGTATATGTATGCGTGTGCTAATGCATTTGGGTGTGAATGGAATGTTCGTGTGTTTGTTTGCTTTCGCAATTTTTGCTTGAAGCATTTGCAGGTACTCGCGCATTATGCGCTTTGGCACAACATTGTACGCGCTATGAACAGTACAAGCAGAAGGGACGAGCTCGCAAAGGAACCTAAGATGGAAGCTTTGCGGTTCGGTTGAATTGATTGTGCGGATTCAGTTCTATCCAACTCGAAATTGTACTGTTTTGTTTGGTTCACTATAGTGTAGCAGGGCAGGCACTATAGAGGTACAATTTAGGTGAAGGTTGGATGTTGTTTGTCTGTATCTGCATGCTACAGGGCCAGGGGAAACCAGCAGAACCATCATTTGGCTGGTTGGGCAAAGACAAATCAAGTTCTGTTTTTTAGGACCAGAACCTGGTTGTTGTTTTCGCAGGATGGAAAAACATAACCAGAGGTTGTTTACCAACCTACCACCTGCTGTTTTGTCCAGCCAGGTTGGTTCTGTTGCTTGGAATTATTTCGGATCATCCCTCGTTGTTCCCAGGTTGATTCCCAAGGTTCTTGCTAGCTAGAACTATATATTCCTTCTCTGCTTGTACCTGAATATAGTCAATTTGATTCAAGCGAATTCCTCCCTTCCCGGAATTTCGTTTCTACGCGGTGCGACAGCAGAATGCTACCCGAGTCAACGCTAGTACGCTAGCACTCAATGCTAGGCAAGCGCTATCGGAGCCATAACTTCATACTGGCAGAACTTTTCGCGAGGCAACTTGGCTTATTTTAAAGCTCTTGGAAGGAGCTTCGATAAAGGGAATTGTCAGCTCAGTCCGGTCGATGGTCTGTACGATACGCTGCGCGACATTCAAGGTACTCTTGTTATTTTGACTAAGTCATTCTTGATCCCTCTCTCTACAAACTCGGACCCGAGGATAGGGGCTGGTCTTGTACTAGGCATCCAAGGACCCTAGCAGGTGACCTCGAGAGAGGTTTTAAGTTTGATAAAGTCTTAATAGATTGAGTTTGTTAGGCCCTTACACCAACAAGCTGGTATCAGAGCTGCGTTATAGTGATCATCGATATAGGTAGCTATGGCGGGCAACACCTCGACGGGAGCTGGTGAATCTTCAGCCCAAGATCGTAGCGGCAGCCATGATTCAGGTGTTTCAGCGCCAAGGGAAGTGCGAACAAACCAGGGCTCGCTGGTTAAGGAGGTGCTGAAGAATTTCACCGTTCAGAAGTTCAATAGTGAGGGCTATGATGATTGGGCCTGGAAAATGCAACTATATTTCCGTCAGATTGGATTGCTGAAACTAATGACTGGGGAGGAGCCTAGATCGAGTAACCCCGCGCTGCAGGAAGATTGGGACGAGCGCTGCTCGGCTGGCTACAATTTGATGTCGAAGAGTTTGGAGCTGAACCAGCGTCACCATGTCATGCACCTGCTGCCGGAGGTTGAGTGCGGTCCGAAGGCGTGGACCTTGTTGAAGGAGCTGCACGCCCCGACCTCCGTTGTTGCAACGTTGATGCTGGAGAGAGAGCTGTCCGCGTTGCGGTTGAGCGAGGGAAAGCCGGTGCAACCTGTCCTGGACAAATTGCGCGACCTCTACGCGAAGTTGGTAACTGCGGGAATCACCTACCCGGAGCAGACCAAGTGCCTGAAGATGCTCTCGCTGCTGCCGGAATCGTGGCTTCAATTCACGAGCGGATTGATCCTGCCGCAGAACCAGAGCTCGTGGACACTCGAGTGGGTGCGGACAATGATTCTGGAGGAGGACTTCCGTCGCCACCAATTGAGGGGTGGAGACGACGGCAGTAGCGGCTATGGGATGCAAGGAAGCCGACATGGTAGAGGACGTGGCTTTGGTGGTGCTGGACGCGGTGCAAAGAAGGACGACGACTCCAACAACCAACAAGGAGGTACCGGGTGGGGTCGCGGTGCGAAATCTGGACGTG